CTGTGTGTTACTACTGAGAAGTACTCTCTGTGTGTTACTACTGAGAAATACTCTCTGTGTGTTAGCCTTTGAAACTTCTTTGACAATGTACTATAGACTGGATGGTTTAACTAAGAGAAATACATTGTCTGGTGTTTATGGAAATCAAAATTAGTGTGTGGCTCCTGCAAAGAGCTCAGAGGGGTAGCTCTCTTCTATGCCTGTCGACTAGGCTGGTAGACAGGTGTCTTCTCCCTGGGTTCTTTCACATCACCTTTTCTCTTTGTTTTCCTCTGGGCCCAAATTGGTTCTCTTCATAAGGATATTAGTTCTATTATATAAAGATTCCCACTAATGACCTTCTTTAATGAATTCCTTATATTAGAGATCCTATATCCACATAAATTACCATTCTAGGGTTCTTCAGGACTTCAGCACGTGAGTGGGAGAATACACAATTTAGCTCATCATAGACTGAGAATACATTTTGTCAATCAGAAGAATTAATTTTTCCTTCTTAACTTCTTCCATTTTTGTTTCAGAAAAATGAAGGGATCACAGGACCTCTTCCAGACTCTCCTGTGAGTTTATATGGATGTCTTTTAAGATCTGTATCAACACTGTGTTCTTTGTTAGGGGACAAAGAACTACCAGTACCAAATTGGGTTTGGTGGAACAGTTATGCAGAAAGCTGAGTTTAAGGTCAGCCTGGATAATTTATACCCTGTCTCAAATTAAAAAGTAAGCCAGGCCTATGTCTCAGATATCTTGGTGGCAGAGTACTTGCCTAGTGTGCATGAGACTCTGGGTTCAATCTCTAAGACCAAGAAAACACAAATGAAAAAATCCTATCAAAGGATGGTAGTAGGCATGGGGCTATTCCTCTGTCCTTGGCCATTTATAATATGGAGGTGAAGAAATAGGATAGAAGGTTATAGTGAATACTAATAATTGTTAGTAGTATGAGCTCATATAGCCACATGTAACTCCTTTGGAAGAGAGAAAAGGAGGAAGAGAACCTACCCCTTCCAGACATGACTTGTTGCATTAACATTTCTTATTTGGCATCTGAGGAATGCAAAGATTGTTTCTTTGCTGGACTCTCAGGTGTTACCTTGTGCTCTTTTCTCTAGAAACCTCTGGGGACTGACCATGCGATAGATGCCTTGTCATCTGACTTCACCTGTAGTTCTCCAACTGGAAAGCAAACTGAGAAAGAGGTATTGATTTCAGTTCTATTCGGAAGGACTTTGTAATAAAGTATCTTGGCTGTAAAAAGAAAGCTTTAGTTCTGTTTGTCATAATTGTATTTTATTTTTAGAAGTTTACTGGGGAAATGTTCAAAGCTCAGTCTGCAGGAGTGACCAGAAGTGCTCTTCCCCCACAGGAGAAGAAAAGGAAGGTGGAAGAGGTACTTATTTACTTAAATAGCCAGGGCTTATATGACAGCAGGTACTTTCTTGGGTTTGCTTATTTATGAATGCTTCTAAAGCATAGCCTTTATTCTAGTCATACAAGACAGTTGTAAATCAGGACCTATGCCATGTGGCTCAGTAGCAATTCTACCCTAGATATTTCTCTCTCCCTCTCTTCCTCCCTCCCTCTTTCCCTCCTTCCTTCCCTCCCTCTCCCCCTTCCCCAGCTCCCTTTCCCTCTCCCTTCTTTTTCTCTCTCCCTCTCACCCCCTCTCTCTTTCTTGTCCTTTCTCTCTCTATTTCCCGGTAGGTCTGGGTCAGTTGGTCTGTCTGTCTCTCTGTCTCATGTCTCCACATAGACACAGCTTTTTGCTTCCTGCCCCCCCCAACCAGCCCCTGGCAAAATAAACCTTTTGCCCTAGACCTGTTGCATGGAGTGTTTTCTTGGTGGCATACCCTTGGTATACACCCCCACTCACACCTACGTCTGCCACCAGTTTATCCTAACAAAGACCATCTCATTTTCTAACACATAAGAGACACTATTCAGACTATGAAATCTTAGACTTGAAGCTTCCTAAAGAGAGCTTTATAAGTCACTACTGGGAAGTCAGCACAACTACTTCTGTCTGCCTCTTGTAAAAGCAACCAGCTATAACCTAGTTCTCAGTCTTCAAATTTGATCCTGCAGTTCCAGGCTGGATGTGGGCGTATACACCCTGTGAATGGTGCTGATAATGTTAAGGACCATTTCTATCAGGGCTGCCTCTACTCTGTCCTGCTGGCGTGAACAGTTTATCTGTAGGACTGAGGGAACTGTAGGGAGCACCACACCCTGAGAGTGGGAGTTCTCATAGACACTGTGCCTTTAGCTTCTCACTTACCTGAGCTTGGCTGTTTTGCTGAAGGGTGGGGCTTTCAGAAGATGCTTTACTAATACAGTTTTTAAAAACAGAAGAAATGTTGTGCAAGTTTACTTGCTTTCAGCTTTAATTTTGATAAAGGTCTTTTATAATATCATTACTATAATCATATATCTTACTTGCCAAATAAAAGTTGAAGTGTGCCCAATAGCTGTTGCTATAGGAATGGGTTTGGTATCTTAGACCAAGTTTTCATTTGTCAGTAAGTTCTTTTTCTGTCCTCTTTAAATTTTCTAAAAAGTGTTTCCTCCATATAATAATTTCCCAATCCACAATTCATCTTCTGTATTTAAAATGCATATTTTACAAACAAGCAAGTAGATAATGTAGATAATCCAAGCTCTAAATGGTTTTGTTGTTTTGTATTTTTTTTTTAATGCACAGACTTTTTCATTTTTAACAGGGGGTCATGAGTGATCAAGCCCTTCAGGCTCTGTCTGATTCACTGGGCACCCGGCAGCCAGATCCTCAGAGCCACCTTAACCAAGCTGAGCAAGTCAAAGAGGTAATGATTTTTTTTTAATTCATATTCAAAGCCTGTTAGTCTACAGCTCATAGCTGAGCACTGGCACATGAGTAGAATTCTTATACATTGTTAGAATTGAAAATGAACTAGTCTTTATTTTCCTTCCCTTTCAGACTAAATGCAGGTGTTTATTGCTACGGAATGAGCAACCTGGACAGATGTTTAAGTGTTTATGTAAAGCATCTGCTACGTCAATATGTGGAAAGTGAGGGTGGAGGGGTGGCTCAGTAGTCATTCACTGACCTGACCTATGCAATGACCTGGGTCAGAATCTAGTACTTGACGAATGGAAAACCATTTTGTACAGTATGTTAGCGTACATCTGAGATTATAGAACTAGGGAGACTGAGGCAGGAGGATTGTAAACATGTTTTAGAACAGTGTGGGCTACATGAAACCTTGTCAGATGAAAAGGGAAATGGTGGGAGGGGGGAGAAGAAAAAGAAACACCACCCTTGACAAAGCAAAGGAGGCATCTAAGCAAGGTAACTGTTGTAGTATAGTGAGAACCTGTAAGATTTGATGTTTCTAGGTATTGGGAATTTGTATTTTCAGGAGAGCTTATGGAGGCAAATGATTATAGAAGAGTGGAATGAGGCTTCTTTTGTTTAACTATAGGGACGAAGGTTGAAAAAAAATTGTCTTAGGTTAAAATAAACTGAAGAGTTGAATAACACTCTACCACTTGCTTACTGGAGCTCATGCACACTTAGACCATGTTTGTCTCATACCCTCCACTCCCCTAGCAAGCCCTTGGAAGCTTGCCACTGGTATAGAAGTATAATATTAAGTTATGATTTTTCTATACTTTTTCGAATCAGTTCTCCTAGGAAAAGAGAAAGGACAGAAATAAGTTGCCTGTGTGTGACAAGACAGGAATCCTAGAAGGAGATGGATAGACAACCAAAGGCTTTAGGAGTACTACTCAATCAGATTAGAGGAAGGAATGTAGCAAACAGCATTGTCACAATGCCCATGACTGTTGTCACTTCCTGTTTAGGGTTGTCAGGGAAGTGCAGTCTTCCTGACTTCCATGAACTCTGCCTGAGTCTGAATTGGCCCAGGTCTACTATGGGCCAGTTTCTGTCTTCTACTTTCTGGGAGGGCTCACCTGCTGCAGTTTGGCATGAGAAACTTCATGAGGGTGAACGTAAGGGAGCTGGAGAAACAATCCCTGTCCTCCAGGACCATGTGATATGCTCAGAAGAAAGGGAACATGGGTCCAAAGATCATGAGGTGCACATTACTCAGAGGCTGCTGTTTCTAAAGAGCGGGTCTTGGTGGAGCTCTGGGTATGGCCAGCAGGCCAGGCTGAAGTGGTGTTTTCATCAGCTGGGAGCTATAGATTTCAGGATTGCCTTAGGCTTTTTATAGATAATTAGAGTAATTTAATAAGACAATATATGTGGAGAGAGAAAGTATAAAACTGGTCCAAGTTTCAGTACAGTCTAACTCATTGATTCACTAACCCACAGGAATAGGTGGGAAAAGTGACCTAAAAGTAACTCATTTCACAGCATTCTTAATCTCATTACTTTATGTGGTATGCATGAGAATGTGTTCACTGTCCTCTAGAAACCAGTGAGTACTAGTAAACTAATAAAGTAACGTTCTATTTTTTTTTGTCATGCAGGCTTTCCCCTATTCCTAAATTATAACTGCTTCCTAAAAAGATCTTTCAGTTCTCTAAGTGTTTGAACTAATTTGTGGAATCTGGGGTGGTCATTCATAGTGAGTAGACTGGTGTTTTGCTAAGGCTCCCAAAGTCCTCCTTCTAGAAGTCCTTGGCCACCACAGGCCCTCTACCCCTTACTAGGGAGCACTTGTACAAACTATGGAAATTTCCAGAGGAGAGACCCAAGCTCACTTCAAGTGTTATATCATATGATAAAATAAACATTTATTTTAATAATAATTATATCTTTTAAGTCACACCCTATTTTTACATATTATGTTTACTTGGTCTAATATGTTTGCAATTTGTTCTTTTTGGTATCTATGAAATTGAAATACAAATCAAAGAGGTAACAGAAAGGGTTCAGCTGTGTGTGTATCTGTCACTGCCCATAGCCCAAAAGTAAGAGTCTTCCTGTGCCATTGATATTAATGGTGTTTCCTTATGGCACACCTCCCAGTTTTGGACAATATTGCTGCATATCAGAACCTTATGGGCAGCAATAGAGTAAAACCTGAAATTCAAAAAGAAACAAAGTCCTTTCTATTCTAAATAAAATAAAACTCTAGTCCCAGAACAGGAAACAGTGCCTGGCTGATTAAAATTGCTTAATAATTTTAAAAAATTAATGGAAAGTATAGTCCAGTTCTGAGGTTGAGGTAGAGAGTGAAACAGTGGGTTGTCAGAATTTGCTTAAATTGCAACATCTGTCTTGTGTTCTAAGTCCTTGCCTTGAAGTAGATCCAAATCTTTACACATGGAATTTTAAGGACTCACCTGCACATTTTATTGCAAGTGTTGTAGAAGAGAATTAGTAGTTTACTGTAGAGCTACTTATTTATAATATATTGATTTGCTCCTGGTTCACTGACCTTACAATATAAGGTCAACAATATCCTTGCTGTTATTGGAAGGAGTCCTTTATAAATTTCTAAAACCTATTCTCCATGAAGAAGCCATATCTGTGACTCTCTGCTTCTCCCATTTCTGAATTGGATGAGAAAATTGGATATGATTTTTTCTTCCTTCTTAGATAACCACCCTGTTGGGGCAAAATAAATGGAAGCTAATAAAGTAATTGCAGCTAATTTCTGTGCTGTGCTTTCTGTCCTCCAAGGAGCCTTTATTTACTTTGATAAGCCTTCAAAGTCAATGAGCTAAGGAAAGATTATTAGCCAGAGAGGTAACATTCTCAAAAATACCATAGCTTCCTAAGGCCTAGACCAAGCAGGGTGTCTCAGCATTTCTGCTCACAACTGCTCTCCAGTATTATGTTTTGTGGTTTACAAAGCATTCTAAATGCCTTAATCTAATTGTGTACTTTTTTATAGTACATGAAGTAGGTGACATCAATCTATATCACATTCATTATTTAATTGCGGCTTTTTTTTCCCTCTCCATTTTCATCAGGCAAAAGCAAAAGAAGAAAAGCAGGAGAAGTGTGGTGAAGATGAGAACACAGTCCCGGCTGAGTACAGGTTAAAACCAGCCAAGGTAAATTCTCTGCATGCTAAGCAGCACAGGTATGGTGAAGGCAAGGACACAGTCCTGGCTGGGTACAGGTTAAAGCCAGACATAGTAAACGCTCTTCATAGCAGCACACGTATCTGTAGTCATGCTTATGGCATACCTTTCCTTGACACTGGAGACAGCTTTGGCTATCCCACTTCTGATATCAACTCTGAAGAAGCTAGACCCATTTTCTTGGCTTTCTGCTTTTAAGGTATTAATCGCCTCAGTGATGGTTTATCCTTTCATGGCTTCTAAAGTAGTCATTAAAGCTCTCACCTATTTGACTATTTGTGAAGAGGAGAAAACATTCCCTAAATTGTGAAATCTCATGTTCAAAACTAAACAGTATTTAAATTACAAGCATGATATTTATCCCCACTCTGGGTTGGAGAATTGATGCTTTTTCTTTCCTGTTTTGAGACACATTCTCAGGTAGACTTAACTAATCTCAAACTCACTCTGTGGTGGAGACTATTCTTGAACACTTGCTGCTGGCATCACAGGCATGTGCCTGCATACCCAGCTTGGTAGAACTTGATGTTTTTTTTATTTTTTTCATTGAGGATGGGGTAGCCAGATGTCTCAGTGGGTAGAAGGACTTGACACCAAGACTATCTATCTAACTTAGATCCCTGGGTCCTACATGATAGGGAGAGAACTAAATTGGCAAATTGTTCTCTGACCTTCACATGTGTCCCATGTTACATGTGCACTCATACTCACACACACTCTGTCTAAATATTAAAAAAAATTTCATTAACATACATGTGTTATTGTCAATGACCTTTTGTTTGTTTGTTTTATCCTTTTGCCTCACCAATGAACAAATCTCAGCCTACTTACAAATGTTTGATCTTTTGATCAGATTCCTGTTTTGTCACTTCATAAAAATTAAATCTAAAACTCATTTACTCAAGTATAAGAAAAAAATAAGCTTACCTCTCACATCCTGGTTTTGCCTAAAACAAATATAATGGGACCTGAAAGCATTTTTTTTTTATTTTTGTCTTTAATATATTTCTAATTTTATTTACAGGATAAAGATGGAAAACCACTATTACCAGAACCTGAAGAAATGTCTAAGGTTGGAATATAACGTTTTCCTAATACTTAAACATAGCAGAAATATAAGGAGTAATTAAGATCATTTTAAAAGACCATATTTCACATGTAGCCTAGTGCTGAGGAGAACTCTGATAGTAACTATGTGCTGAAGCCTCTGCTCTTTTGCATATATTTTAATGATCCTTTCCCTCATGAATTATTACTAGACTATTAGTTTCTAAGCAGCATTCACCAATGATTAAGAGTTAATGGCAAAAGAGTTTTTACATTCTATTATTTTAGAATTTAATTTAGACTTTGATTTAAGAACAGCATGAACTAATTTATTATTTTTATATTGCCTTAAATATACATTGTTTCCTGTCATGATATCACCAATTAACAGCATTTGTTACTCAACTACTATTTGTTCAACATTTCTCCAAGTGATTTTCACATCTTTTTCTTTCATTTTTAATGAGCCATTGTGTGTATTTAGTATTGATTGCATGAGTACAGGTATGGAATTATTCATTGGTGCATGGGAAATTTCCCAGTAGTTATACCATTGAAGAAAAATAGTTTCTGTGTTCCATCAGCCATTAACTGCCTGAGCTTCTCAAAGAGATATGTTAAAAAAACAAAAAAACACTGTTTCATGATTTTACACAGCAGAGTGTCTTCTAACCTTGCTTTCTTTTTTTTTTTTTTTTTTCCACAGTGTCTGAGTGAGTCGGAGCTGATTGGGGAGCTTTCAGCAGATTTTGGCCAATCCACATATCAAAACAAACCATCTATGGCAGCTGAAAAAATAGAAGTATGCTTATGATAATATGTTTTAGGGTTATTAATGTTCATTTTTAATCTGAGCTGGTTAAATAAAATTGCCACACTTCTCAACCCAGAAACCTTTACTCTTCTTCCTACCTTCATGTCCACCAGAGCCACTCTTTCTGAAGGATGTTTCTAGTCATATGTCCTGCTCTTCGTGAAAGGATTCCATACATGCCACTGCTAATGTACTCTAGCCCTGGCTTACTTTCCACCAGTTCATTCCTGTTTTACCCAACAGGAAGGCTTTGCAAAGAGTGGCATTTTGTTATGTTGCTTTTCCTCCCTTACTCATCCCACTCTTTACTAAAAGGAATTCTCATGGTAGGGTTCTTAGTGTTGTTGTTGTTGTTTGTGTGTGTGTGTGTGTGTCCATGTTAAAGCAATAGTTTAAAAGGTTCTAAGATATATTGGTGCTTCTTCAACCCCAAGATCTATCAGTTTAAAAAGTACAGCCCTGAGGATGACAAGAGCATGCATTGTTAGTGCTCTTTCTCCTGAGTGCTTGGCTAGGAAATCTTTGCAAAACTGTCTGGATTAAAAACATTTGAAAATTACTGGACCCTGCCCCTAGAATTCCTCAGTGTATTCAGGTGATATTCTGAAAATATATTTTCTCACAACATCTCCAGGGACCACTCAGAAACTCCTATTCAGTATCATTTCATACATTTGTGCACATATTTAAGATTTTCAAGATGCTCTCAGATAGCCCTTGAGGTACTATCTATATTAACATGTTCTTCTTTTACACATGTGAAACCAGTCTCCAAGTTCCATTTACAGTCACTGAAAAGTTTTTAACATGTCGTGGTGTGAATATTGTTCAATAAGCATTTAAAGAATCACGCTTATAATTTACATCTAGTGGTGTCTGAGCCACTGTTGTTCAGTTTATTAGTCTGGTAGTCCTAAAGTTATTCAGAGTACTTGCTTTTTTTTTCAGAAAGCTAAGGACACATCCCAAACTCCTGTGGGGGAGACTGTGCCTCAGGCCTCCATGTGCAGTATACAGTCAGCGCCACCCAAACCAGCATCCTTGGTGAGTGATGATGTCCTTAGCATTGAAAGGGCCTTGGGCTCTGTTCTTTCTCCTCTGACTTGCTACTGTTTGTCATCACAATATTATCCCAAGAAAATGAAGCAAAAGTAATGTAGAGTTGCTGTTCATTATCCTTTGGGCTTCAGGGCTGTGCTGGAAATCTCATCTGCACTTAACTTTTAATTCAAGTGCTGTCTCCAATAGTCTATCAATCAGCCCTTTGTCCTGGAATTTGACAGAAATTCCAGTGCCACATGTCTTCCTGGTTCCCATGGTAGAATGCTTACACTCAAATCATGGCTATGACCCTGCCCCTTTCCTCATTGGAGGACAGATTGTTGCATCCCTCTGTCTGGCCTTTGTTGTTTCTTACCTTCTAATTTTTGAATGAAGTGTGATATTTAACTAGTTAAGTCCTTATTTGCTTTTGATCTTTGTGGGTTTTGTCCTGACTCAGGAACCACTGATTCCACACTTACAAAATCTTCTTTTAAGACATGTTTTCCAGATCTTCTATAGTATCTCCTTGTTGTTCATGATGCTAAGGATAGATCTGATCTGGAGATTCGTTACTGCTTCCCAAGCATGCTTTCACTGACCTCCATCTGCTAGTCCATTTGATGTTTATGAGTATACTATAAAGGTTTTATGCTGACCTTGAGAAGTATACCTGTTACCCAGACCCTTACCTGTCATGAGAATGAGAAGTGTGGCCCGGCTCTTGGATGCCTTTCAGCTGTCTACAGATAAGGCCAGACCTCAAGTTATGACACACTTTCAACAGTCCTAAATGGAAAACAGGCAGGGGACATGGGTAAAGGAGCCTTCTCTTGAATAATTTACAACTGCTTCCATGCTGAGGCCAAGATCACACTGAGAAGTGAGAATAGCATTTCCCAGGGAAAACAGTGAGGTTGAAATGTAAAGTACTTGATGTACTTGGGATGTGTTCATTTAGATGCTTGAGAGAACCAGCACCTACATAATGAAAAATTAATGAACACATTAATGTAGGGTGCTTATGTTGCGGGAAATATTAAATAAAATAAAATAAAAGAGCAAGTTTCCAAGCAACACAGGGCATCAACGGGCCATATGGCTCCAGTGGAGTGTTCTCATCTCTGCAAACTCTCTGGCCCAGAACTCCCCAGACATCTCCACTGGACTTGCTAAGTTCCTTTGACAGGTCACTGCCATGCCAGCCCCATACCACCCACCTCTAAGTTAGTTGTCACAATTCCCAGTAACCTGGTAAAATCAAAACTCTAGAAGCTTATAATTAGTCAGAGTTATATATCAATAAATTCTCAATTCACAAGATGCCCACACAATAATTTCAGAGCCAATTGATAATGATATAAGCTGCCCATCTAGATTAGATAAGTTATCCCAATTATTCTATCCCTATATGATATTATAGCTACCTTGGCTATTTAAAGCCACACAGAATTTGAATCGTCCTGTTCATCCTCCATTTTTCTCCTCCTCTTCTCCCGTGTGGATCCCTGTCTCTGCAACTCTTAGTTCTGTCTCCCTTTTCCCTGTCCAATCACAGGTTTCTTGTTGTATTAATATTTAAATTAATTAGAAGGGAAAATCTTGCTACATGCCTATGCAGGTTAAGTGTGGTGTCTTGTTTTCTATCTATGAAAAACATTCTGGTGAGGAAACATTCAACTAAGTTTTAAAAGCCACCGTGGAACAGTTATGACCCTCAGTTTGGAAAGCCAGAACAAAGTCCTGTCTTTTGGACCATACATTGTTTCTTCATTTCCCCTAACATCTCTCACTTGTGCTTCCTGTTCTTTCTTTTAAAGCCAGTGTAGCCAAATCAGGCTTATAACAAGTGAATACATTTCATTATGAAAAACAAGACTCATGTAGGTGGTTCTCATTGTGTAGTGAGGAAAATCAGTAACAAGGAGGAGGATCCTAAGCCAACTGTTAGCCATTATTAACAAGTAGAAGCTCCAGACAACAAATATTTGCCTCCTTCCCTGGGCCTGACCAGGCCCCAAGGCAAAGCCCCTGCCTTCATTCTCTTCTGTCAGCTTCTGTTACTTTCTCTACCTTCATTATTCATCTATCAAAATTCCAGCTAGACCTGGTAACATATTCAACCTATCAACTGCACACACAGTGTTTAATATAACAAACTTGCTTTAATTTTTAATTCTTGATATTTCAAAACATCCATTCTAATCAAATTGATAGCTCAAGATATTAAAGATAATGTAGACTTGAAATAAGTGTGTGCCTTTCTGAATTGATAAGGGTGAGTAACTGCTTAGGCTAATCTACCTGTGTTCTTGCAGAAGGGCTTGGTGCCTGATGATGCTGTAGAAGTCTTGGCTGATAGCCTGGGGACAAGAGAAGCAAATCCAGAATATGATAAGTCTGTGGTGGATAAAGTCAAGGTAATGGCAGCTGAAATGCTTTTACAAAATGACCTATTAACCATCTACTTCGGCCCTACAATTTTGTTTTTAAAAATACATCTGCCGGGCAGTGGTGGCGCACACCTTTAATCCCAGCACTTGGGAGGCAGAGGCAGGTGGATTTCTGAGTTTGAGGCCAGCCTGGTCTACAGAGTGAGTTCCAGG